TAAATTTGAACTGGCATATACGTAGAGTAACGCGGCAAGCGAGTTTTTACGCCCGTTTTTGACGAGAAGTGTACGCATGACGAAAAGCTCGTCCTATTCCGAATCGCTTAGCTAAGCAACGGTCTAGTTAATACGCACTCTTCGGCGTGCACCCACAAGCGCACTCCCACGGGCGTTTTAGACTCAATTTAACCCCTTACAGTAGAATGTACTCAGTTGTGCCCGGGGAGTATACTCAAATGGGGCGGGCCCTCGTGACGATCAATTTATTGGTCAAAAAAGGTTCCGAGTATGACGAATCTCTAAGACTAAAGTAAGCACTTGCGAAATGAGTTTCAACCGGGTCTATGCAAAATGTGCGTTGGTGAAGCAAAGTAATCAAATCGCTAATTTCTCGCACGCACAACATTTCAGTAAAGATCGGTTGGAGGTAGGGAAAAGTAAATCACAATGAAAGAGTTCTTTTCAGAATAACATTTTAGATTAGACAGGTAAAGGCCTGTCCATCTGGTGTTCTCTTTTACGTTTTCGTGCTTTTGACCTTCTCGACTGAATCTTCGGAAATTACCGAAAAAGTCAAAGAAAACGAGTTTAGCCACGAAAGGGCGCCCAAACGTAAACAAGGCAATACTCATTAAAGGCCTCCCAAATTTAAACCGTTGACCGGGCGAAGATTAGGCCTCAAAAAAGCACCCCCCAGAAAAGGGCCCAAAACGATTTTCAAAAAGTTTTCCTTCCCGATACACTTCATTTTGGGGCTTAGTGCGAAAATAGACGCCAGTTGCCCCTTACAGGAGGCACCCAGATTGCAAATTTTGGGGTTTCCGAAATCAGACATCACTTATTTTTATTAATTTGACCATTTCTGACAACTTTTGTTTAAAGGAATATGCCCGTTAAAAAGAATATGAAGGCCGCTTTAATGCTGGTCTATCAAAAGCAGTGCGCCTAACTTACCCTGCCGTGCGGGACCACTTCGGTGACCTCAAAAATCCCGAAAAAAATTTCCCCGGTCTTAGAATCCGGAAAGGAACCCAATTCCGTTTTTCCCCGCATCGCATTTCGAACCTTCGGGGAAATTTTAGCCGGTCTAATGGCTGTAGTGAGGACCTGTCGAAGCCGTAATGTAAACTGCATCCCAGTAGAGCAGTTCAGAGTCTGAAAATCCGAAAAGGGTATGCCAGATTCAGATTCAGAGAAACCCCTTTTAAAGTAAATGCCGCTGAAAAGGGGGAACTTTTCACGTGTTTTTAAAAAAGTTAACCCCCCTTTTGGAACGCAAACCGCCCCTTGGGCCAAAAAATTTTTTGCCTTTTTTTTCAAAATTTAATCCAGTACCCTAAAAATTGATTGTGAAGAAAGAACGACGCTTCCTGCACTTTTTTACTTATGACCCGAAAATCGTGGTGATTCGACCACTGTGCGGCGCTGTGGTGCTCAGGGGGGTGAGTCGGGGTGCTGTGGGTGGGGCTGGCAGGGCTGGCCAGGGCCAGAGTTCCAGGTACACACACAATGGGAATCCCCCCGCCGGGCGAAAAGGGGGAAGGGGCGTCACTCGCGCTCGCGACCGGGGAGGTGAACCCCAGCTGTTGCTGGCCGCGGCGGCGACCACAAACGCTCAATTTGTCGCAAAGGCAGTAATCCTTCAATGCCCGCGTCACTCGCGAGTTTCGCAATCTGAACACAACACGCACACACGCGTCCCAAAATGGCCTTTGGAAAATGGCCGCGCGCGCACGGCAGCTCAAGTGTATCGCACGCTGCACTCGTGGAGACTGGCGGTGGCGGGGCGCGCCCTCCCTAGTCGGGGGCGCGGGAGGACGCGCAGGACGGAAACCCGCCGAGGATGCGTTGTCTGCAAGGTTTTCCTAAACTCTGATTGGCTTTCAGGATCACGTGGTCTTCGATGTAAACACTCCGCCGTCCCCCGGCACTAACACTGCCTCTTCTCCCCCGCCTCCCCGCACTGCCCTCCAAAGTGAAAGACAAAGGGCCCCCTGCTACGTGAGTGGGCGCGTCACATAAAGAAACATCCGTTTGGACCGCCGCGCGTTGCCGCGCAGTGCGCATAGGGACTGTATTCGCCTTTATTGCCCTCTCTCCCCTTTTGGGGGGTCATCTACCGACGGCCTTGGCCTGGCCCTCGCAGGGGGCCCCCCAGCCCCGCAACGTGCGGGGTTTTTTCCCCTCGGATGCGTAGGAGAGTGCAAAACAGCCCTCCTCCCCCCTCACCCCTGCCCCCTTCCCGGGTCCCCATGCAGCTTCAGACGGTCGAAAACAACCGAAGACCCCCTGGAGGCAGGACCTGCCACGACCAGCACACTGATTTTCCCAGGTCTTTTTCGTCGCTCTGCCCCTCTCGCACTCATGAGGCGTCCCTTGTAGGTGCGAGAGAGACAGAGAGACAGAGCGGCGAGGGAAACTACTCTCGGAATCAGGGGGCCTCCGTTAGCTGGGCCCGGCCCCGGGGCGGAGAGACCAGCTCTTTTTTCCCTACAGGATGGCCGGCGGAAAAAAGGGCAAGGATGGCCATATACCCCC